TGTGCATGCCGTGATGAGAAGTGAGAGGAGGTTTTGGGGGCAGGAGAGGGAAGGGGGAAATCAACACAGGAAACAGGAAAGAGGAAGTGTCAAGTGCTTGGAGGTCAGGACAGGGTTGAGTAAAGAGGACTCAGCTGCAAACAGGCATCTGGATGCACAAAAACTCCAAAATGACTCGTCCGTTTTGGTGCATGTTTGGGTTTTGAGTTTTCTCCGATTTAAGGAAAACTTTATTAAACCAAGAACTGATGGAGCAGGAGGTGAGAGATGTTTTTGTCCATCCAGAAGCAGATTACACAGCAGATTCCATCTCCACTAGGCTGAAGTGTACTCACAAAATGAAGCAGTTCAAGGTTATTCTCTTACTAAGTCTCACTGTGCCTGTGGTGTAAGCAGACAGAGATGTCATAGGCTGGGTACAAGTACTTCTTGTGGTATTCAAAAAAGGAAGGAGATAAGCTTATAATACTTGTTGTTGTTTTTTTTTCTGTTTTCTTTTTTTTGCTCCCATCTGTTTGGAGCCAAAGTTCAGTCAGTCCATTTGTGAAAAGGTCAAAAAGTAAATGCAAAGTTAAAAAAAAAATCTGAATAATTTTCATCCTCACATAGCATTGTTTCCCCTCTTCTCTTGTACAGCAAAAGGATAGTGCAACTTTTTCTTTTTTTGTGAGTGTGTTTTCAATGTCAGAGTGAGTCATTTCCACGCTTGTGTTTTGCTTCCTTTGTGAACCTTGGCACTAAGATTTGGATTTTGTGACTCTCTTGTTTGCTTGTGTTCTCTGCATGTCCTTGATTCTCAGCTCGGTCCTCGCTTTGTGCACAGATCCCGGTCCAAAAAAAAAAATGAAAAAAAAAAAAAAGGGCAAAAAAAAATAAAAAATAATAATACAAAGATAGCAGGAAAGCAAAAAACAACATTGTCCTTAATTCCCACAGATATGGGGCAAATAAAGCAAATATTTTCAATCTGTGCTAGCAGTATGTTTCTTTCTCATGTGATGGAGAGGAAAACAAAAGTCTCCATGCAGTGCATTCGTCCTGATCTCTGCTCCTGCTTCTTCTCTTTTCTGCTTTTCTTGTTGCTAAGGTTGATATTAATTTGTGCATGAGCGTGTGGAAGGAGAACATTAGAGAGCGATAGAGAGAGTAAGAGTCAGAGTGTGAGTGAGTGAGTCCACTTCTTACTGATAAACAGGACAAAGTGGACAATACAGTTGTCAGTCCAGGGCCCTGCCAGCCATTAGTTCACACCAGGTCATCTGGATGGCCATCCTTGGCCTTGGCAGGTACTATTGTGCTTTCTGATTGGCTCTGCTGATGGATCGTCCTGCCGCCCGGCCCTCCCACCCTCTGGTTATTGCTGTGCTGGTGTAGAAAGAACGCAGATCCGGGATAGTTTCCCATTACCTCGCTGTATGCCGGTGGGGGGCCCTCCATGCGCCCGTGGTTACTGGAGTTGGCCACACTGATGCCCGAGTTACTACTGGGCGGCCTTGGACCGCCACCTCCCGTGCCTCCACCTCCTCTACCCAGACTCCCGCCTCCTCCCATGTCGATTAAATCACTGTCGTAGATGGTACGGTTGGGTGGTGCCCTTACCGACTCGCGGTTGAGCTCCATCTGCTGCTCTGGGTCGCGGAGCTGCAGGGTACAGGGACCCTGGTAGGGTGGGGGTTCTTCACCATCCGACAGCGATATGGTGGGTGGCAGGTCGATCTGGTGCTGCAGGTAGGGGTAGGTGGGCTGGAAGCGGCTGAAGCGGTCTCGCTGCATGAATGAGGGAGCAGTGAAACGATCCCTGGCCTGGGGAGCATACAACACCTTCAGGACAAAGACAGAACATTAGCATGTTACAGCGACACCTGCAGACTCTGCAGGTTTTTGACACCAACTACGAGTTAACACTGGAGTTGGAGAGAAAAGTTATGAACGAGAAGGAGTTAACAATAGTTTATTTATTCAACACTTGACTCTGGAACATAGTGCTTTTGACAGGACACATCCACCTGTGCTTTAGAATGATGAACAGCCTGTAGTTCAGTTCCATGCTCAGGGACACATCTGGAATGGAACCACAGACCTTCTGATCCGCAGCTACTCTGGCAACCACCCTTTCATTCCATTTATCATGATTGTTGCTGGAGCCAGTCACTGTCTGAGGTAATCAATTTCAATCAACTATCCTGGTTCCGATAGTCTAACTCCACTGCCAAGCCAGTCGGATGAAGGGACCAACAGAGTGAGGAAAAAAAAAATGATCAAGGCGTTCAGAATTGAGACGCAGAGGGAGTGAAAGTAAAAGGAGTAAGGGAAGGAAGTAACAAAGCAGTGGAAAAGGAGAGGAGAGGAAAAAGCCATGGAGATGATTAAGAGAGCAAAGAAAGTCTTGAGAGATAAAGACAGAAAGAACATGAAAGAAGAAAATGTGTACACTCAGACAAATAGACAGAGGGAGGGCGGGGTGTGTATTGGTGATGGAGGGAACAGAGCGCAGCAGAGCAGGGCAGCTCTCAGACGGCTGTCTAGACAGTGTCAGGGGAGGTGTTGCTGATTAATGATGCACCAAAATCCATCCACCCCCCCATGCTGCAAACACACACACATACAGACACACACTTGAACACAGAGAGCCCCCATCACTGCATCAATCAGCCACCCACTCTCAGAGGCTCTCAGTGGCCTTTTCCTTTTCCCCCAGGTCTCAGAGCACTGTGGTTTTTTTACTATTATTAACCTCCCCTGATCTTCCTGCACCTTTTACTCCGTGACTCATTTTACCTGCCTTCTTACCCTCTCCTCTCTCTCATTTGACATCTCTTGTGTCTCTTACTTCATCTCCTTCACTTTGTTTGAACTTGATTGTTATTGCTGGCAGGTCGTTCCAAATGAGAAAAATAAGTGTTTGTTTTGGAGCAATAATGACCTTCGACCGACGTGTGATGTAACATTTCGGATTGGATTGCCAAAGTGTGCACACAGAATGGGCGGCCAAACGTCTCACGCAGCCTTGATATACAGTACCATTGTCTTCTACTGATCATATCGTTGGACACGTTTTCAAGTGTTCTTTAAACACTCGGTATTCCCTGTTTTCCCAGTACGATGCTTCCTCTCCAGGAATTTAAAAGCTCCTCCATCTGGCACGTCCGCCACAAAAAACAAACAGATCGCCAGTCACAGCGAGCGTACAGGCATTTGTTTGTGGTTATGTATTCACGAGTCCTGCCAAATTATGATTTTGTTTGGAGGATATTGCCAGCTGTACCCAGTGCTACACACTCTTTAATTCCTGTATGATTAAGTATTTATGCAGCCCTAAGACTTTCCCTGTCAACACTGCGCTTGCTGTACGATGATGAGAAATGAGAAGACAAAGCTGACAAAGACAGAAAGACAGGTTTTGATTATTACAGAGAGACGTACGAAAGAGATCATTCAGGTCTTTATCTGATGCTCATACATTTGTACCTGCCATTTGTATTTTCCATACAGCCCTTGAATGTCAAGACAGTCAAATGGCTACATATAGCCTTTTGACTGTCTTGACATTTTTTCTGCAGCTTCATAATTTGTAATTCGTAGAACACTTCAGCCGTTACAACATGGCTCTGAAACCCAGATCTGATCTCACAGCAATTCAATGGGATTTCTTTAAAGAGACTTTCTAAGTGCAGCGTATCCCAAATGATAAAGAGTTTTGTTGAGTTTCTTTTTTTTTGATGGTGACCTAAAATTTTTGAAGCATTTAATCTTACTTAAAAAATGTCTAGAAATACAGAATGCAGAAAGAGCTCTAAAGTCTAAAATTAATTACAAAACTTCAGGGGGTATCTGCTAAATGTTCTCTCTGACTCAATCCACCTCTCCCTCTGGGGTGATTGTGTTTTTAATCCTTGAAGAAACATGGTGCAATTTTGATGAGAAGCAGAGGCAGAACGAAATTTAAAGAGAGGCAACGCCTTGCAGTAGAATGTCTGACAGAGCCGAGGATATTGTACTGAGGAACAGGACAAACTAATGTTAGTAATGACAGTATTCAGTCTATGGACGCAAAAATGTAGTTCAGTGAAAAACTGGACTGAACTGCAGAAAAAAAAAAATATAACATAAAAGATTGTGGAAACACACAGAACAGCATTTTATTCCCCTTTGTTTACCTTCCTGTTGAACTGTCGCCCTTAAACTGATGAAAGTAATATTGAAATAATAAAACAACTGTAAAAACCTACATAGTGAACATAATATTTACCATACAATATAAATAATAATATTATTAATAAAAGTACCTATATACCAGACAAAATGACTAAAACGTAATTATAATTTAGACCAAAACATATCGACTTACATTAGATAAATAACATACTTTCTGTAATTGGAAGCAACACAGGAACCCTACTTAAAAGTTTGTGTTTAAACCAAGAAGTCCTAGATCTGGTTCATTGAGAGCTCTGAAAAGAACAATTAAAAACTTTATTCTCTTTTATTTATATCGATTCCAATTAGAAGCATGAAAAAAACAAACAAATCTCAGAGTAAAATATTTTAAACTACAGCAAAAAAAAGAAAGAAATATTGTTTTTAATGACTAAGCTTTTCTTTAAAGGCCCCTGAGGAAACACTACATACTGGGAAGAAACCCATGAGGATGAGGTAAAACTAACACTGGGTGGTGAGACTGTGACAGTGTGACACTGTGGAGATAAATCATAGACTAAAACCAACCCCATGATCAGCCCCATTTGTCAGAGAGTAAATGTGTCATTTATAATGGTCCCTGTCTCTTCAGCTCCAATCAACATGTCTTTAACACGTCTCTGTTCTATTTAGCCTTCATGACAAAAGTGACATTTAACCTGTGACTGCATTTCTAAAATTCTTAGGATAAAAATGTTTAGTTCATGCCTTAAGATGTCGGTAACATAAGGTCAAACAAAGCACTCACTAAATCATTGATTTTTTTTTTTTTACATTAGAATTTTAAAACAGAAACACAATAAACACAGACAAAGAACAGTAACAGTAGTAGTACTCATAGTATTAGTACCAGGAAACAGCTCTGACAGCATTCATCTCATGGAAAAGGTTAAACATGAAAATGTGTGTGTGTGTGTGTGTGTGTCTGCGCATGTATTTAGTATTAAGCCTCACAGTGGTATGGGTATGATGTGAGTATGTGTGTGCGTTTGCATGTATTTCTGTTTAAATAAATTCTTTTTGATTTCTGATTCTAGAACTATCCTCCTGTCTTGGAGCTCTCTGCTGGAATTAAAGTGGAATGTGGTGGTCTTACCTCCGAGGCACCTTGTCGAGAGCTGCCGTCTGAAGGCCACAGACACCCGTCCTATACAATGTGACAAAAAAATGGAACAAAGAAAAAGATATCTCTTAAGTTTCCCAAGTGGTCTCAAACAATTTGCACATGTCCTTGAAGCTAAACAAGAAGCTTAGGAGTATTTTCTGTGATTCAAGACAGCCTTCCTTCTATCATCATTTTGGCTTTTGTTCTTTATGTCAGGGATAAGTTTAATGAGACAAAAACATTTTTTTAACCAAAAGATCTCAAAATCCGACAAAACACCTGTCAGAAACTCCAAGAAAACACAGAAGATGAAATGTTTAAGGCCAAGAGACGCTTGAAAACTTCAAACCCAGAATTCCAGCTGTTTTAGACCCAGACAACAAAGGGAAAACTGTTAACATCTCAAGCACAGGCCTAATTAAAGTTGCAACAATAACATACGAAGGATAAAACTTTCCCTTTGTTTAAATATAACCTAAGATTTTCTATTTGGTTCTGTTTGTGTTCTATGGACTGCTGTCACAGTACTTGTAATGTGTGAAATGGTATCTGGAAAAATCCAACTGTATACTGTCAAACATATTTCCAATTCACATGAGTATTAATAAATAAGTGAAGAAGGTTCAGTTGTCATTGTTTTTTATGGTCATTTCAATATGAATATTGACATTTAAATGATTGTGAGATGTGACACCAGCCGTCACAGAGGACACAGTGACCTCGCCGAAATCTGCTTCTTCTACAATAAATAATTCAACGCGACCAAGTTCATGTTTTAAACATCTGCCATTGATTTGGAAAACAACAGATGTGGATGATGGATCTGCTTCATGTAACACAGATCCACTCATGGTCACAAGTCTCATTAGAAAAGTCTGGTGTTTGAGAAGGAGCAGAGGCTGACGAAAGAAAAGCTACTAGGTTTAGGATGGATTTGAATAAACCTTTGAATAAAAACATGTTCTATACCTGAACTCCAAAATGTGTTAAAAAGTGAGTATGCTTACTAAAAATGCTTTGAGCCTGAAATTTAAGAATCTTAACATAAATAAGGAAAAGAAGCCAATTTATTTCTGCAACACACCCCAAAATATTTGGACTAATGAAAGTTTACCGGGTCACACATTTGGTTTTCTGTAATTTGGGAAATAATGATACCAATTGATCAACAGTGTTTGGTCCCTGCATGCAATAATTAATAATACAATAAATAATAATTTTCATACTAACAAGCCGAAATACATGACCTATTCCTAAAGGTTAGTCCTAAAGGCTAATCCTCTTATTGGTTGAAGATTGAGAAACCTCCCAGAATGTGTATGACCTTTTCTGTTTTTCATAGCTTTGTCCCACATGTGGAGTGTGTTGTGACACCAGTTTCTAAACTGTGTTTAACCAACACAATTTGTCACTGAAAACATTCAATGTTTTCTTTTTCTTGTATTATCCCAAATAAGGATTGGGATTATCTGTGTGTTTAAGTTTTTAAGTGATTGAATTTAGTGATAGAGTTATGTATCACAATGCCTAATATCAGGCAGGTTGTGTGTGTATCCGAGTGAGTGTGTGTTTGTCCAAGAGTGTGGCCATGTCAGCAGTGGGCTGTGCCACCGCTGTCTAGACACCACTGTAGTAAATTAAACATCAAGGTCTGCCAGGAGCTGGCTCTGACAAAACCAATTCCACAAATTTACCTTAACAGACAGGAGCAGAGTTGTTACCTCATTGAGACTAAAACTGAGACTGACTGTGATAAAAAGGTTGGTTTGACTCCACACAAATGTGTGATATTTTTCTACTGCCTTGGAAAGAGATTGCATTAGCATGGAAGCTGGAAGGAGTGTACAGTGAGTACAGATCACTGTGACCTAATACAGCGTGCATCTTTTTGTCTTATTCACAAACACACACACATACAAATACATAATGTCACACTGACCTGCTGCAGGGCATGGTCATGCCTGCGGGCCTGGCTCTGCCGTGTAATGAAAGACCAGGTGGAGAGCTTGTAGTGGTTGAGCAGGCAGATGATCACCACCACCATCACTGTCATCACCACAATAATGATGACAATCTGAACAAACTCCAGTTCAGCTGCAGGGGAAGCACAAAAAGAGAGAACTTTTAAAAGAGCTGTATGTCTTACAAAATTATAAATCAACAAAGATAAAGTAGTGCAATTCTAAATCTATACATATATATATATACATATATACACATACATTTATATACATATACACATACATATATATATGACAAGCCATGACTGATTTCCATTGGTTCCCAAAGGGACCTTGTACTATTACACTGTGTAGCAGTTTATGTTTCCTTCGTCTGCTTTACAATGCATACTTAAAAAACCATATAACAGCTCTCTTACACCTCAATGCACAGGTAGTGTAAAAACAACTGCAAACATGTCAGTGTGAGGGAGCTCGGATGTCTATGTTGCCTGTGTCACACTGACAGCACCACAGGTCAGAGAAGGTGAAGTGATGTACATAGTGCGACTCCTCTGGTTACGCCGTACTCAAGTTTATTTGGGAATGCGTCTTTGGGCAAACTGCCAGACATCGGATGACGGATCCTTAAGGAGGACACCGATGCTATCAGTGACATTCAGGATGAAGGGTTCATGTTAAAAATGATCAGTGTCCTCCCTTGATCCAGAACATGTGAGCATGATTAAGTTCTTCAACACAGCAAGAGCATATGGGTCAGAACTGTCTGAACATCACAGTGCTGGAATTCACTTCATATGAGCTGCTTGAAAAATGTGACTAGAATGACAAGTTGAGAACACTGAATGTCCTCAAAGATCTCAGTATCCTTCACATAGACATAAAACAAAATGATGTCAAGTTCACCAACAGGTCAGACCAACTCCTTAATTTTAGAGCCAAAACTCTGGTTTATAACAGCGACTTAAACCAAAAGGCAAAAAATTGAAAAGAAAGTCTAACTTGTGTGCCAAATGGAATTAACATTTAATAAATCGTTTAATAAACTACTGCTGACGATGCAGTTAGGGTCATGAATTGCTTGCCATGCATATGTTTTACTGCACTTAACCCAATCAGGAAACAAGTATAAAGTACAACGTCTGTAATACACAGGTTTATCCTATGCATGATAACCACCAGTGACCCACAGAGCGGTGTGGCTGGTCCAATTCAGCCCGCAAGCCTCATGTTTGACATATGTGATCTAAGCAATTGTATAACATTTCTCTGTCCCTTTCAGAATGTGTGAAAGAACGTCCACAACCTGAAACTTTCAGTGCGAATGATCAGACAACCAAGTGCAGTCCTGTTTCACATTAGAGCTGGTTTGATGGTATTTTGTTTGTCATTTTTCGTCATCTATGATTTAAATGTATAATTTGAATCTATAAGAGTAGTGCATTGCAGACAGAGAAGAAGCAGACAGAAGGATCCACATATCTGCTTTGTTCACTAAATGTGGGTATAAGGTGTTCTTCATTTCTTATTGACAAACTCATTATAGACTGGAACAAAAAAAAAACTGTTTATTCAAGGCCTTTTATGAGATGACAGAGACAGAGTGATGATGCCAAACATGTTAAATATTTCAACATCTGTGTGATGATCTGCATAGAGCGGGTGTTGTTTGCACACAAAATGAAGATGAATTTCATTTTAGCTTCTTCCCTTACTGTACAATACGATCAAATTTACCACAGCATCAATATTCATTTTGCTTAAAAAGGCACAGGGAAGCTATTATGGGATAATTGCATGGCATCTCAGTGGGATGCAAAAAAAAGGTGTATTAAAATTTAAAAATTCTACAAGGATTGACAGGAGACTTAAATATGAGTCGATGACGTTTTACTTAAAAGTGTTTCTATGCCTTTAAAAATGGTTGAGGAGAAACACTACAGCTAATACTGGGGCAGTGGACAGCGGGCAGCATCCAGGCACTCAGCTTAAGCTGCCCCTGCTTACTAGGGTGATAGGTCAAAGGCAGAGGATAAACTTCATTGTGTGCAGTGGTGTGCTGTGCATCAATGACAATAATTCACTTTCACTTTCCTGCTGTTTTAAACATTTTAACCAGCAGGGGGAAGCACAGGTCAGACTCAAGAGTCAAATCTGCATCACGTCTAGAGTGTTTGGGGCTAGCTCAGCTCTTTAAGTGTTAAGTGTGTGAGCTGAAATCATTGGATGAGTGTCCACAGAGTCTGCTGTTCCTGCCAATGTACAGTGGATTCTTTGTAGGAAACAGTGAATGACTGTGATGTGTCTGCGCTGTCATGCACGCACACATACACACACACAAATCAACACACACTGTCTGCGTTGAGATTTGAGATGACCTCTAACCTTCTCCCTTCTTTTTCATTAATCCCATCCTTTGATTCAGATTTCCTCCTACTCCGTCGTTTTAATCCCTCTGAGTATCATTGCTCCGACTTAATGTCGTAGAACTTCAACCCCATCTTTTATTTCTCCGATCTCTTTCTAGCCAAATCGGTCTTTTTACATTCCTTTCTCACCCACACTCATTCTCTCCCTCTCCTTTATTCTGCTGTGTTTCGCTGCCATGTATTTCATACTTCAACCCCCTTCACTCTCTGTCTGACTTCCTTTCTGTCAGAGAGTCTCATGGTGTCAGTTTGATCTTGGCCACAAGTTTTGACCTTGTCTGGTCTTGGCATCCCTAGCTGGACTTGACTCACACTTCACTCATGGCTGGACACTCACACCATTGTCTCTACCTCACTCTGTGGGAGATTATGGATGAGCAAAATCAGCACAGACCCAGGTTTTTAAGCGAGTAAGAAGAAAAGTTTTTAATAACAAAAAAAGTGAAGATAGCACAATCCATCTACAGTTGTTTTAAATGAACAAGACTTTCTCAATAAATTTATGGGAGATAACTAGGTACCAGCAAAACATTGTAGGTTGATGATGTTGTGAACCGAGGACCGCCTGTACATCAAATATATTATCATAGATATAATCAAAGAAAAAACATCCCATTTCTGTTAAATCCTGCCTATCCCTTCATCATAATGCCCCCCACTAACTTAGAGGAGGTTAGTGAAAAGTAAACCAAACCAAACCTGCCTCTGTTCCACCACGGCAGCCACAGAATGCGGGTGGAGTAAGAGAGTTAGAGGATGAAGGCCAATTCATATAAACCACATTAAGTGGAGGAAAGACAAAAAAAAATCCATGAGAAGAAAAGTTTGTTCTCATGCCAAATTCACAAACTGACATTAACCACAGATGCGCAGAGGTACGAGTCACTCATTCTTCCAAAACCCAACCACAAACAAGCCCAAAAATGTTTTTTCTTCACGATCAAAGATGACAAGTCGGGTGGAGAGTTAAACAAATGACATAAGTGTCAATTTTAATTAAAGACATGTTAAACATTTATTATCTATGGTGGAAGTTGTGGCCAAACACAACCAACTTCTCATTTCAAACATTTTAAGCAGAGTCTTTCAGCCGTTGGACACATAATGAGTCATTTAGTGTAAAAACAGTTGGAACTAATGGGGGAATAACCCAGAGTCAACGAAGAGAGCTCATTCTTTGCTTCACACCATCTGCTGATGTCATTAACTTTACTGAAGACTGAAGGACGTGGTGTAAAAAACAGTTAACCAGGTTTTGTGGAGCCAAACCTGCCTAACAATCCACGAGGGAGAAGGCCAAGGTAAAGTTACACAGAGGAAAACAGCATTCAGAGACCAATAATTATGTAGTTGTATTTTTAAAAAAACCATTACAGTGTGATTCTTAGCTCGACTGCGACCAGTGTCAACTGGTTTCTAAGGACTTAGTGAGTTGAAATAGAGCTGCACTTCCAGGATGAACAACTCATTTGTGAAGTTCAGCTATGACCAGCCTGGACCTGTGCACTCACCGCAGCAACCACAGGGAGGGGACTGAGGGAGGGTTTCACTGAGAGAAAAGCATTGTGGGAAAATCAAGTCACCCTTCTGAGAGCCTAAGGGATACATATCACAGCCTGCCCTTCTGCTGTTTGTTAGAGCTGCACAGTCCAGATGCCTGGCTCAGAGCTGTGACTCTAAAGAGGGAGTGGGGATGGGTTCTGCAGCAAAGACAAAAGTAGAGTGGCTACAGTGAATTGCTCTCTCTTCTTGAAGTCACAGAAGGAAGGAAGTCAGGGGAGGAGTTGAAAAAAGGGAGGAAGGAAGTCTGGAGAGGAGGAGGAGGAGGTGGTGGTGGAGAAAGATGAGATATTAAACAAGACAGAAACAGAGCATGGTAGACGAGCGTCCTATCCTGCCTGGACCTCAGTATACATTTAGGTTCAGACTCTTTTGAGACTTTTAGAACACAGTGTACAGACTTTAGCACAGGCTGCAGAACAGTGTGTACTGGCAGTCAGCGTTACCACAGCCAGTCTGATGTTATTACAACACTAATCCACTTGTCAAAACAAAATCAGTCTGGTATCTGCTGCACCCGTAGTCCCTTAGCAAACTGGACAATTTGCTTTGTGGGAAGGGGTGGGGGTGAGGTCAGCTGTGCCATCACCCTTTTCTGCTTCAAAGAGCCTGGGACATTAAATTTATTTTAAACAGGTGAAGTGACTTTTGAGGTCACACTACTTTTTCTGAGTGCAGTATTAGCATCTAGAAGGAAAGAAATAGTCACTTTTTCAAAATTTGCTTTTAAACAATAAATATCACAAAGTACAAAAGAGATGACAAAATTCATCCTTTGATTTATAAAGTTTTCAAAGAATGTGAGTGAAAAATTAAATTAACAGCCCTTGTTTTAAGACATGGAATTAGTATAAACAAAATTGAGTATTAATTATTTCCAAGGATTTTTGTTTTCTCAGTGTACCTTATATTATCTCTGGAACAGTATCATGTACTACGGTCTTGTGCTCTTGTGTTATTTTGAAGCTGCCTTATTGTCAATAAGTTTAAACAAATAATTCATCAACAAATAAATAATTGGGTAGAGTCCAAACACACTGCTATCAAACAACATAAAAAATACAAATTTAGTAAAGAATACTTATATGATTTATTTAAGCTGTGGTCTGATAAACTACATAATTAGCCATTTTATCCGACAGGT